CCGCCTGCTGAGGGTTGACCCCCGCCGGTCACAGCCCTGAGCTGGACCTGAGCCCTCCGCCCGAAATCCCTGCGTCCGCCACGGCCCAGGTAGGACACACCCCCCGAGCCCCCAAGGCGCCTCCCTCCCCCAATCCTGATCCCCTCCTCTTGCCGCACCCCTCGCCGAGTGACTGACGCTGGTGAGGAGGGGAGGGGTACCGGAGACGCTCAGGCTGCTGCCCACGCCCTGGGCTCGAGCCAGAGCCAGAGCCAGAGCCAGTTCTCTTCACCTCGGAGACTGTTCTGGTGCTGCCCCATTTCCCGGAAGGCTGCTACCCCGTTTCCCCCGAGGCTTTGGGTGTCTTCACTGAACTTGGAGGGCACGAAGCTTCATTCCGTTTCTCTCTCTGTGGGTGACCCACATATCACTTGTGCTCATGCCGCTTCTGGTACCAGGACCGAACACAGAGGATTCTTTGGAAATACAAGCGTTTCTTTCCCACCCCGCCTCCCCTGCTATAAGCGAAGGGGACATGGGACTGTTGAACGTATCTGCTGAGTTGCATCGACAATGCAGGCCAAGACTTTCTTGTACTTAAGGTGCTGGAGTAAAGCTCTAAGGGATTTGCTCGTCATTTGCTTTGACAAAGATGATGTTGACACTTTGAGAGGCTGTGGGAGGGACAAAAAGATTCCACATATAAGTACTGTCAAATCGGAAAAGTAAATAATCCGTTGTGATGCCAGGGTACCTTATCTTACGTTTTATTTCAGTTGGTGCTGCACTAGAGGTAAAAATGACATTGAGTTGTACTTTGCTTAGAATTAAAGTTGATAGGTGGCAGCAATCCTGGCATTAACTCGTCCCTAGCTTTAGAAATTGTTTTCTTTTAGCATTAACGAGGACAATTTTATTACAACCAGTGTATGATGTAAAGGTATTTTTGTTATTCAGCAGAAATTGAGTTTGTGTGTGTGTAGGCAGGTCCGTGTTATGAATGGGCACATGTACACACGAACCCACGGAGCATCCATTCAATGTGTTTTGTTACAGTGTTTGGTCTGAGCCGTTAATAACAGCTGCATTGGTTTCTAAACATTAACTTTGTTACGATAGACCACAAAGATGTGTCTTCTGTTTACTTTTGACTAAATGGAATGGAAAAACATTCATTTGGGGGTAAAGGGGGAGGAACGATTTTAAAGTATTGAGGAAATTGAATGCTATGTGTTGCTTTCTTAAAAAAGCAGTAACGATGACAGATATAGCTTAATATGACTAATCTTGAAGAATTTGTCTTCAGTATAAAAAATTTTCAATTAAGTGTGTGGATTTGGATGGCATATTGCGATCTATTCAAATTGAAAGCATATTGAAAGGAATCTTTGATTTAGAAGCTTATCTTTTTCTATATGATACATTGTTATCAAGACTAAAAGAAATGTTTGAAGCATGATTATAAAGAAAAGTTTCCCTAACATTTTTCCTTTATGATGGAATGTTAGGAAATGCTTTTCCTTCTTCCAGTTTTAGACACAGAAATTAAAGTCCAAAAATTAAAGTTAATTTAACATATAATATCAAATTGAAACCAGTTTGATCACTGATGGGGGGTATGTACTACAGTTAATACATTATTTAGTGAATTCTCTATTGTATTATATATGACTTCAGATTTAGTGTCTTCTTTTGATTTTCATTTAACTACTGAGTATTTTAATACCTCAGGAAATCTCCATGAAGTTAAAACTAATTTGCTTTAGGAACTTGAACTCAATTATGTAGGGCATCGAATACTTTTAAATGTAATGTTAGAAGTGAAATTTGTGTAATTTAGACAATTTTTTTTTTGGAGTTGGAGTCTCACTTCACCGCCCAGGCTGGAGTGCAGTGGCACGCACATGGCCACCGCAGTCTCAACCTGCTGGGCTCTGGTGATCCTTCCACCTCAGCCTTCCAAGTAGCTGAAACTATAGGCACAGACTACCACGCCCAGTTTATTTTTTGATTTATTGTAGAGAGGGGGTCTCACCAAGTTGCCTAGGCTGGTCTTGAACCCCCAGGCTCAGGCAATCCTCTCTCCTGGGCCTCCCCAAGTACTGGGATTACAGGCTGAGCCACCGCGCCCAGCCAATTAGACAATTTTTGAGGATACTTTACATCTAAAAAAGTACACTAACAATTTGACAGTGATAGGTTTTACAAAGCAGATGATATTACAGAACTGAGTTAGCTGTGGTCATGGAATTTTAATTTTGCTTTGGTGGGGGAATGAACCAGTTCTTTATAAACTTTATATATAAAAATTAATATGTATATACAGATGACAACTTGATGGCAGTTCAGGATGAGACCCTGAGCTGAATCCACAGAGCTAAGACACTTTCAGATTCTAATCCTCAGAAAGTGTGAGATAATGAATGTTTGTTTAAAAAAAAAAACTATAACAAGGAAAAGTGTTTATTGGTCATTGTTACTATTATTAATTTATTTATTTGAGTTGGAGTCTTACTCTGTGTCGTTCAGGCTGGAGTGCAGTGGTACAGTCATGGCTCTGCAGCTTCTACCTCAGGCAGTCCTTCGGTCTCAGCCTCCCGAGTAGCTAGGCACACACCCCCATGCCTGGCTATTTAAAAAAAATTTTTTTTTGGTAGAGATGAGGTCTCGCTATGTTGCCCAGGCTGGTCTTGAACTCTGGGGCTCAAATAGTCCTCCAGCCTCAGCCTCACAAAGTGCTGAGATTATAGGTGTGAACCATCATGCCCAGCCTAATGATCATTATTAAACTAGTAGTGGCTGTATTGGCCAGCAAAATTAAATAGCTTATGATAATTAACAGAAAATATAATTTATTGCTTTCTCGAGTTAAAAAAAAAGACCTGTAAGAAAAATTCTTTTTATAGATATGTGACAAAAAAATCTTTTCATTTTAAAGGCATGTTACTCAAAATGACTCTAGTTATATAGTCTTTTTTTAATCTTTTTGAGAAACATTCAAAATATAGCTAGATCTGTTTGTTTATTAGATTAATGATATTGCAGAATATCTTCAATATTTATAGATTTTTGAAGTTAAACACATTTTATGTAGCTTTATTTCCTTGTCATTTTGTTGTTGTTGTTATGCAACATACTGTAAACAAAAGTGATGTAAGAGCTTTTCCTCCAGGCTTGAGTGGATAGAGCCTTTTGCACTGAAAATACTGAGTGCTTTCAGGTCAAATATCATACTTTTTTTTTTTTTTTTTTATCTGTATGGTATCTTTTTGCTGTAAACATTTACATTTTTAGTAACAGGGATCAAACTATATATAATCTTATGGCATGCTTTTATCACTTTATATAATATGAATAATTTTTCCATGATTTTAAAAATTATCTATAATCCCAGCACTTTGGGAGGCCGAGGTGAGAGGGTTGCCTGAGCCCATGTGTTCAAAACCAGCCTGGGCGACTTGGTGAGACCTCATCTCTACAATAAATCAAAAAAATTGACCAGGCATGATGGCTCACCCCTATAATCCCAGCACTTTGGGAGGACAAGGTGAGAGGATTGCCTGAGCCCATGGGTTCGAGACCAGCCAAGGCAACTTGGCAACACTTCATCTCTACAACAAATTAAAAAATCAGCCAAGCGTGGTGGTATGTGTCTGTAGTTACAGCTACCTGGAAGGCTGAGGCAGAAGGATCACCTGAGCCCATCAGGTTCAGGATGCAGTGGTCGAAAGCGTGCCACTGCACTCCAGCCTGGGCAACAGAGTGAGACTCCAACTCAAAAAAAAAAAAAAGTCATTTGGAAACATTGTTTTGAATGGTCACATAGTAGTTAATTGGATGGACACCATGGCTCACACCTGTAATCTCAGCACTTTGAGAGGTCCAGGTGAGAGAATTGCTTAGGCACAGGAGTTCGGAACCAGTATGGGCAATAAAGTGAGACCCCATCTCTCTTTGTTGATACATTTGTGCAATTATTTCCTCAAGAAACTAGGCCACATGTCTGTGATGCCATACTGTCTACACCACCGATGACATCAGCATTTTGGGCAGCGGCCCGAACACACTGTGGCTCTTCCTGGGTCTTTAGTCAGGCGGAAGAGCTGTCGTTCTCACACTGGTTGCCTGTCCACATCTCTCCGTCCAGAGACTTGTGGCGATGGCTCTTCCCTAGGTATAGCTGCCTCCTTAACATAGAATCATCAGAGGAGTGAAGTCTGTTTCTGGCAACCAAATGAGGTGGTCACTATTTAATAACTATTTTTTTTTTTTGAGTTGGAGTCTCACTCGGTTGCCCAGACTGGAGTGCAGTGGCCGCTCCCGGCCACCGCAGCCTCGACCTGCTGGGCTCCTCCTTCTCAAATATCATACTTTTATTTGATAAAAGAGCCTTTAAGTTTATATGAAAAAGTTGAGTTTTTGAGAGCAAAATTTTGAACATAGGTATAACACACATTACTACTCAAAACATTAAAATCTGGTGATCTTTGATTGTAGGTTTAAAATACACTTGAAATTATATTATTTATATGAATGCCAATTTTGCCAGAAAGTTTCATCTTTAAGCAGGTGATTTTTTTTTTCTTTCGGAGACATGGTCTCACTTTGTCACCCAGGCTAGAGTGCAGGGCATAATCACAGCTCACTGCAGCCTTGAACTCCTGAGCTGAAGTCATCCTCCCACCTCAGCCTCCCAAGTAGCTAGGACTACGGGCATGAGTCACTATACCTGGCAAATTTTTTTTTTTTTTGTGGAAATGGGGTCGTGCTATATCGTCCAGGCTGGTTTTGAACTCCTGGCCTCAAGCGATCCTCCCACCTAAGCCTCCCAAAGTACTGGGATTACAGGTATGAGCCACTATGCCCAGCCAAAGCAGGTGATTTTTAAGCAGTCTTTTTGGTATATTTTCATTTATGGTATATGATCTAAAGCTAAATAATGATTCTCTTTTTGGGTTATTATTTTATATATTCTTGATACTTAATTGAACATGTAGTACTTACAAACATTTGTGAACATTTTGGATTTTTTTCTTGTGATATTTTTGGGTTGTTGATAACTGTTTCTTATTAAGAAATTTGGTTTCACTTCAAACAGGGTAAATCTTCC